GTTAGAGGGGAGTGCAAAACAGAAGGAAAGTATCAATCCATTGAGAAGTACCTACTTTGAACAAGTGCTGTTGTATATAAGAATATAGATTGTTATAACATCATCTTGTATACATGTTTATATATAATTATAGATGAATATGTGTGCTTGACTCAAGCCAATGTTATTAACATAAATACCGTTACTGTTATTTTTAATGGTACTGTTAACTATGATAATAGTTAACATTAACCACTGGTGTCTGCTTCTCTGCCTCCAAGACCAGCTCTGTCTAGGAGAGTTTTTGTTGAAGTCAAGCTGAGAGCTGCCACGAGAAAGATTTCTTTCTTCCCTGCCCCCACCCCAGTCCCTCAACAGAAACATTGTCTTTCTGGTTAGGATTGTTTGCAAATCCTCCAGACTTGTAAAACCATGGCCTTTCTTTTAAGTGTAGTCAGGATCACACCTTGTTGTTTTTGATCATATAATAGTTTGTTTCCCAGATGCAGGTAAAACACAAGATGAGGTGAGATATACAGAGATTAATTAGAAGAGATATCTGTAAATGAGAAGGGTTAGAAATTAAGCCAGAGAAGGTGGGAAGAGCCTCCTGATTGATGGGGTCAACCTCACTTCAGAGAAGAGGAAGGAAAATTAGAGCACCAAGACCATGGACTAGAGAACAGTGAAAGATAGAAATTTGTTCAAGTTTATGGGAAGTTTTATTTTTCTTCCTTCTTTGTTTGTTTGTTTTGTTTGCTTTTTGTTTTTGTTTTTCCCGAGATAGAGTCTCTGTATAGTCCTAACTGTACTGGAACTTGCTCTGTAGACACCAGACTGGCCTTAAACTCAGAGATCTTCCTGCCTCTGTCTCCTGAGTGCTGGGATTGAAGGCAGGCACCACCACCTAAGGAAGTTCTTTTTAACATAGTTGCCACGTGAAGGTACACCTTAGTGTTCCACGTGGTCACGCCTTGGCTAGGAGGAATTAGTATTTACACAGAGGTGGGCTGAGAACAGCTGGGGCCGCGCATCCACAGGTCATCGCGGATGCTGTCCGTGACTCAGGACACTATTTCCTGAGTGTCCTATTGGCACATATTTTTTCTAAGTTATGCCAAAAAGCTCACCTTGGGAAATCCTGTGCCACTGTCAGTTGTTCTGCTGGTGACCATCAGACTGCGTTCTCAGCTCTCCCTTGATCATCGGGGCATCGGTGTGCCTTTAACAAAGAAGACTGTTTGCCTAAATGCAACTACATTTGACTACAGTTCAGGAGGGTATGTTTGAGCATGGGCGTGCAGTGCCCTCAGAGGTCAGAAAAGGATGTCAGATCCTCTGGAACTGGATTATTGTGAGCTGATTATCATGCATGATGGAAACTGAACTTGAATAGTTGGAAAGAGCAATATGCATTCTTAGCTTGTCAGCCATCTCTCTGGCCCCTTAATTTGTTATTTGGGCTGTTTCTTGAAACTTATCTCTCAAGTTCAAGATAAGGTTCTTATATATTGCTAGAGCACGCAAATAATGCGGGACTGGCTTTCAGAAAAATGATAACAAGGTAGCTATTCATAGAACAGCCATGATATAAGATGGTGTGACTCCTCCACAGAAAGAAGAGTAATGACATTGAGAGATGCATGTTTTTACCTAATCTCTAACCATCCCTCAATTTGGTTTTGAGATATCCCTCCAGACTGAGGACTATTTCTGTAAGGCTTAATCTACTTTGACTTTGGGCTTCTTATCACAGCAGCCAAATGACATTGACTAATTTCTGCAGTCCACAAGTAGGGAACTCAGATACGTGAAATAGGCTGAAGTGTAAGCAAGCTAGAAGGTCGTGTTATGGAGCTACTTAAAAGAGTAGCCCTAGGATAGGCGGGTTGTCCTAAAAAGCAGTTGTTAGTCTGGAAGCCATTTAGTAACTAAGGGATTTACTAAGATAGGGATCTGGGAAACAGGGTATTAGATAGGCCTTCCCCACAGCAAGGAAGAAGTTGGCAGCTTAAGTCAAGCAAAAGGTAAAACATAGACAGGGGCATTCTGATCTACTGGAGATATGATGTCCTGAGGATTCGATTTATTAGTCTATTCAGGAAGCTATCACCAGTATTATAAGAAGGCTGTGTGTGAACACACAGCCTTCTTATAATACTGAGGCGGGTTCAAGGTCAAGTGAGGCAAGATCAGCCTGAAAGCTGATCTGTGCTATGGCAAAGAGAAGAAATGCAGCATTTGTGTTGGGAACTGAGAAGTCATAAAGTGGAATAGAATATGGAATACTTTTGTGGCAAAACAGTGCTAATTGATTTTTCCCCAGAAAGCCTCACAGTAGTCGTTTATTTTGAGAAGCAACCATGAAGACAGGATATGAGAGACTTATTCAGAGAGGAGGGATAAGGAAGTACCAAACCCACAGCTTGTTTAACTTCTCCTACGGCACTGGTGACAGGTGATGTTCCCATGAAAAATAGTTCTGTGTCTCCTTCAGCCAGATGAACTGTTTTGTCACACAGCTGTTCTACTTCACCAAAGCCAAAGTTAAAATGCAGGAGGAAGTTGGAAGTTTTAATCTTTTAAAATTTAACGCAGCCCCACCATGCAGAGAAGACTAGACTTAAATACAGTTCATCTTAGTTTGTTCTGGTTTAATCTCGAACTTTCACTGTCTTGGGTAAGAAAAAGGATATAGTAAAAGGAAACAGAGGAAGAAGGAAGGATATGGTACCCAAACTCTTGACTTATCTTCTCACTTTCTGTGGTCCCTACTTTTCTTTCATTTACTATTTTAAGTATATAATTATCACACAGACATTAACTTTTATAAAGTCTCAAGCCATTTTTTGGTGGTTTAGTTAGTTTTCCATTGCTATAACAAAATACCTGAGACAGGGTTATTAGTGTTGCTTTCAGGGTCAAAGCCATAACAACCTAAGCTTGGCCACCCATCCTCAATAGGCCAACTGCACAGAGAAGTAATATTGAAAAACAGAAAAAGACTTTTTCAATGTGGCCCACATTTGGAAGACAAGCAAAGAAAGAGATCCACTGACCCTCTGTGCCTATCTTTGGGGGCCTACAAGAAGTTAAGATTTCTTATTCTTACATTTTTAAGATTTATGTTTATTCATGTTAAGGGAAGGATACCCATGGGGTCAAAAGAAGAAGTTGAACTTCCTTGAGGTGGTCTTTTATGCAATTGTTAGCCATCCAGTGTGAGTACTGGAGAACTAAACTCAGGATACCTGGAAGACCAGGAAGTCCTTATCCCTCTACTTACTAGCCATCCCTGTAGACCAGACATTTAGGTTTACACAGAGAGCAGCAGATACACACAGCTCAGAAATCATCTTTCACCAGGGGAGGATCTTAGCAATCATCGGTGTCTGACCTCCAGTGTCTCCTGCCAAGTGTTTTGACAAGTCGTCAAAACTGTGTGCGATCAATCTTTTTCCTGGAGACAAGTCCTCTCCGTGGCCTGGGGAAAATCCAGTTTACTCAGAACAGTTTTTCAGTTGTCGTATAACCAAAGCAGGGCACACACACACATATGGCATGGGGGAATGAGTTTCCAACATAGAGATTCTGGGGAACATGAGCAAACTATAGCACCAAGGGAATGTCAGGGAGTCCTTACAGCATCTTAATTAACCTTAAAAAGATAGATTTAAAAACAAAACAGTGACAAACTAACAGACAAATGATTGGCTCCAATTTCCTTTTAACTTTTTATTTATTTTCTTTTGTTTTGCTTTGCTTTGCATTTTGAGACAGGGTTCACTGGCTGTCCTAGAACTCTCTCTGTACACCAGACTGGCCTCAGATTCACAAAGATCTTCCTGCAGATCAGATTTCTGTGAGTTTGGGGCCAGTCTGGTGGGTTCCATGTTATGGTATGCAGGTGGAGATCAGAGAATAGCTTTGAGGAGGCAATTCTTTCTTTCCTTATTTACATGAGTCTGGAGATCCAACTTGTGTGTGTCATACAGGCTTTTACATACTGAACTTTCCTGCTGAACAGTCTTCTTCATTAACTTTATAGCTTATGCTTTGTCTGTGGTATTAAATGGAATCGGAGGTCCGAGGCTAAGTCAGAAATTTTGCTTGTCTTCTTATTAGCCTGGAAGAAAGCTAAATATTTAGGTGCTTCAGGATTGCATGTCCTTATCTGTATAATGCAGTAATTCTCACTCTAATACTTTCTGACGACATGGATGAAAACCACTGCAACTGTTCAAAGATGAGTAGAACATAGGCAGGTCCTTGTAAGCAGAAAAAATAAAGCTGGGCCAAGGCCTAGCCCTCATCACTACTTCTTGAGTGAGTTCTAATTCCCTTCACTTGAAAAGGTAATATGCTACTTCACAGGTCTTATGAAGATTAAAACAATATATTTGTAATAAGGTGTAAATAATAGGCTGATTATTAAAACTTCTTGATAATGTCCCAGAATAGAATCACCACAATGTTCAACATCCATGAAATGATTTATTTTCTCATAGAAGTATCATATTGATATCAATCAACATGTCTACACAAGATATCTCTAAGAACAGTCACTTAAAACCTGTTTTACTATCATTTTTGTCATGTAATTATTCCTAAATACTAACTGTATAAACTGTTGTGTTCACTGTGCCCTTTCTATCCATTTGTTTGTAATAGTACATTTATTACAAAAAATCTGTTTTGAATTTTAGAGAAGGTCAGATTGAAGCAAGCAAGAGCTAGTTTTTAAAGAGTGGAAATTGCACATTAGAATAACTGAGAATTTCCTTAAGGACTTCTGTATAGATCAAGTATTATAGTCTATTTTTATTCAAAAATATATCATTTTAATATTTTCTAAAATTGAGAGAAATAAGATTTATGTATGCTGTCAAAATTAAAACTGAAGCGTCTATGTAGAAATTGTGCTTTAATTTTACATTGAGATAGTTACCACCTTTTAAATAAAAGTAACTTGTAATACCTGTGAAACTCTAACATTCTTTAATCTTTTATTTCTTTGCAAGATAATAGTTGGAGAAACCGCAGTGTTTTGCCTACAATTAGCCACAAGGGATTTTGAAAACCAGGAAAAAACTATTTTAACGGGAGATTGTTGCTATATAAATCCTCTGGTACGCCGAACTGTCCGATTTCTTGGTATGTATCCACTGGTTTATTTTTATTCTTCTCGATAACGATAATCATATATGAGACAACTTTCAAGATGGCCTGCAATGCAATTTCCACATTAAGAAGGAAAGAAAATAACCCATGACTATTATTCATTGAGAAACTAAAATGTACATTATAAAAATAAATGACTTAGCACGTATATGAGGCTTCAGAATGAATGCATGGGGAGAAATAGTTACCTGAGTAGGTCTTTCAAGAGTGATAATTTGGCAAAAGGATGAATTTAATACTTAACATGTTATATTCTTTGGACTAGCCCTGAGCTGGTTTTTATGAAAACTAAGTTACATTGATAGTTTTGTTAGAGAACAAGAGATACCTGTAGTTTAACTTTCATGCTGTTAGCACTTAGCAGAATGACAAATTACTAAGCATCCTTGTAATTCAATACAACTTAAGATAAGCCAATTTCATTGGACAACAAATTTTAACACGAATTACTGTTTTCTGGTTTGTTAGATTAAAATGAATACTGCTGTGTATGTTAAAAAGCACATTAGGTGATTTTTGTTAAACACTGAGAGATTCATCAAGGAGCCTGCAACTTTTCAGTGAATGTCTCATGTTATGGGGCTCAAGATGAAAACTTTGGAGAGAGCAAATAGTGAACTGTTCTATAGCCATTACACTAGAGACTAGCTGTAGAAGAATCAGGACTGTAGGTGCCTCTGAAGACTAAAGGTCTTCATTTGGAAGACTGAACTTTCATTATCATCAAGTGACTTATCACCAAAAGCACCCAAGTATCTTTTGAAGGAACTTTTTAAAAATATATGAAAACCTTAAAGAGTTCTTTTATCTTTGTACAAGCAGTGTGCTCTTGATTCAGTTCTCTTTGCATGTGTCCCATTTAATAGCAAAATAAGTAACAAGAAATAACATTGGAAAACTAAAAGTACTTGCATTCAGTTCCTTCCCAAGTACTACTGAGCATATCCGGTTGTGTTGTTGAGGAAAAACAGCCTCTGCATTTGCCCACATATCTATTCGCAAAGAAAATGGGCCCCGAGGGGAAGTATGCCTATCTCTTGTCAGGTACTGGCTATGTAAGTTTCCTTTCGTTTTTGCTTCTTCATGGTGACCTGGGGTTTCACGCTCTTGTAATAAAATGATAGCTTGCTACTGAAGCAGCACTTCATAAAAAGATTGCACTTTGCATAGGGACATTGTCCTTTGAGTCAAAAGAGTGGCTGTGCTTTATAGGATCCCCTTTGAAAATTATCTCTGCCATCCATAGCAATACTGGCTTTGGACCTGATATGCTGACATTTTAGTTTTGAGACTTATTTGGGAACTTTTAAAGTATCAAGAGACATCTCTATACTATTCTCAAGTATTTCTATTTTAAACAAGTGGACCTATTACACTAGAAAAAAAAAGAACAGTTTAGTTAAGAAAATGAGTACATCTTAGCCTACATTTCAAGGAGTACAGATGTTTTAGATGCCAATGCTTAGCTTTGAGATTTTTGAAGGACAAAAATATGTGCACTTTTGTACATTAACATTTTACTGGCCTCAGTTTCCTCCCAATTCTCTGCCTCTCCTGATTTTCTGCTTTTACAGCTTTTTTATTGTTATGATTCTTGGCTACTTCTAAGATGTCAAAAGGGGGATTCTTGCTGTTTTCTTTCAGAACTTAAAATAGAAAAATCAATGCTTCTATCACCTTGACATTAGGATACTAAAGAGTTTTGTTGTGTGAAGAATTTGGTGCACAAAGAAATCTTACATAATATTTTGGAAATTAAAAGAACATCTAATACTGGAGAGTTATTGGATCCTTTGCAACTTGCATGCATGATGATTTTTATTTTTTGATTATTATTATATATTACAATTTAGTAACTTTGTATCCTGGCTGTGGTCCCCTCCCTTGTCTCCTTGCAATCCTGCCCTCCCTCTCACTTCTCCTCCCATGCCCTCCCATAGTCCTTCTCCCCTTCCATCTGATAGAGGAGGTCCTCCTCCCCTTCCATCTGACCCTAACCTATCAGGTTTCAACAGGACTGGCTGCATTGCCATCCTCTGTGGCCTGGCAAGGCTGCAACCCCCAGGGGGAGGTGATCAGAAAGCCTGCCACTGAGTTCATGCCAGAGACAGCTTCTACTCCCCTTACCAGGAAACCGGCTTGAAGACTGAGTCTACAGCTACATCTGAGCAGGGATTTTAGGTCCTTTCCATGCATTGTCCTTGATCGGGATATCAGTCTCTGAAGGTTCCCCAGGGCCCAGTTTTTTGTTTTTGTATTTTTTTTATTGTTTGTTTGTTTTTGGCTCTGTTGTTCTCCTTTTGGAGCTCCCATCCTCTCCAGGTCTCTCCATCTCTTGTTTCTTTCATAAAATTCCTTGCATTCTGCCCAAAGTTTGGCTATGAGTCTGAACCTCTGCTTCAATACCTCTATCAGTAGAGTCTTTCAGAGGCTGTCTATGGCTTCAACACAAGACTTGGAAAAAGAAACAGTTCAGAAATATATAACCAAGAAGAAAAACATTTTTTATAGTAAAATTAATATGACTTTTTAATAGGCCAACCCTTTTGGGAAATATTACTTTCTATAAGTCTAAAAGTCCTTGGAGATAAAGCAGTTAAAAGTACATCCTGCTTTTGCAGTGGCCTTGGGTTTTGTTCCTAACAAAGAGACATTGAGTGGTTCTCAATCACCTCTAACTCCAGCACCAGGGAATCTGAAGTGCTCTTTTCTGACCTTTTGGGACCTGCACAGATATATTGTACAATTATACACTCAGGTGCAGACACACGCATGTAATATAAAATAAATAAGTCTTGAAAAAATAAAGGTAAAATAAAAATCCTGGTGGATTTTACTACCTCAAATTAGAAACCAGTAGATTTCTTCACAGCAGAACCAGACCTTTGAAGGTTACATTTTATTCATATCATTGATATTAATGACAAAATTTTTTTCACTGAAGTAGATAAATAATTTTGGTTCATAAACAAATCTTTCATGGTATTTTAAAAATTAAAAGGACATCAATATATCTAATACTGGAAATATATTTGGCTTTTTGCCGCTTTCATGTAGAAAATAGCCAGTGACCCTGAATGCTTTTGGTATTCAAGCAAATCTAAGATTATTACAAAGGAGATAACAAGTTTGTGTATTTAAATTTGTACTTTCAAGTAACCACAGTAAAGAAATATTAATGCTGTAAAGACAGTTGAGAACTAGCACATTGATTGCCTGCTAGTTTCCTAACTTGTTCCAAAACAGAGAACTAGAAAGCAAATCTATACACGATAAATTGGGACCACACGGTAGCTGTTCTGTGTCTTTGGAAAATGTGTTTCTAAAGGCTATGTAGAATTGAATCCAAGAACATTCTGCTTAAGATCTCTCTGTGATATTTAAGTGTAAACTGATGACATTAGGTTTTGCTGCTAACTGGCGCTTCCAGTAGAGGTGTTAGCTAATCTGAATGGGCTTAGGCTGCATAACCTAAGAGATTCAACTGCTTTTACTTTATGATAGTGTGATTTAAAATAAATGTCAAAAATAGCAGAAGAAAGAGAGGTTGCTAACACTATTAAAACACATTCAGCTGCATCCTCTCAGGGAATCTGTTTCTTCGTTTGAAAACCTGCATCACCCAAGCATAGTCTCAGAATATATTTTCTTCCTTTATCTAGTCTTACAAACCTGCCATGCATGAAAGGGTGGCCAGTGGTAGATGGCTCAATGTGTTAAATAATTCAGCACCCTTAACCACTCCAGAAAGCCACGGAAGGAACTGAGGAGAGGTAAAATGAAAAGAACCGAATGTACGCAGGTATATAATGTGGTACAGTTTCAAAAAATTTCCATATTGGCTTAATATAGAATAATTATTTTTAAAGAAGAAGAAAGCTAATATTGTTTGTTTGTTTGTTTGTTTGTTTGTTTTTCCTCCTCAGGAATTTATGCATTTGGGCTGTTTGCTACAGACATCTTTGTAAATGCTGGGCAAGTGGTGACAGGAAACCTGGCCCCACACTTCCTGGCCTTGTGTAAGCCCAACTACACAGCGCTGGGCTGTCAGCAGTTCACACAGTTCATCAGTGGGGAGGAAGCTTGCACGGGCAACCCAGATCTCATCATGAGAGCGAGGAAAACATTTCCATCCAAAGAAGCTGCCCTCAGTGTCTATGCTGCCATGTATCTGACGGTAAGTGGCCATCAGCACTGTGTGCTCCTAGGGATGTGCTTTCTTCCTTCCAGGTGCTGGAATTCCTTCCCACACTGTAATGGGAGTCATAGCTAGAACACTACTAGGTTTCTGCAGGCCATTCAACTCATTCCTAATGATTGCTGGTTGCCCCGTGATAATGTTAACCCAGCTGGCTCTTTCGAGTTCCTGTGCGGGTACCTGGTAACAAAAAACATTGCCACTGGAATGTCTGTTTGTAAATATGTTTGTCCTTGTATTAAGTAAGGCTTTGTGGAAACTAACTTGTTTTGTAGCACTCCCTGTGAAGCTGTAATCACATAATTTAGAGAACTGTTTGCTCTCCTGTCTGCCTACCTGAGCTCTTAATTTCAATGGTGCTGGTAGGGAAGGGATTCTCAGCTTAGAGGGCTCCTCTGCTCCTGATAATTACATTGTCATAAGTTCTTCTTTGGTGTTTTGATATTTTCTCATAGAACTAACTGAAATATCTTGAGAAATTGTGTTTTCCTTTTGTTCTTGAATATTGGTCATCACTTGGTTTGTAGGGCCCAGGCTCTGAGCATAGGCACCCCGAGACCTGAAGCAGGGATAAGTGATCACAGCTGATTGTGTTCCTGACAGAATGGATGGGGAAAAGGCAGCCTTGGCAGGCAGTTCTTGACCAAGGCATGCGTGTCTTCCTCATTTCCACCATCTCATCAGGAGGTATGCAGCCATGGGGTTGAACCTCACCCTTCTTCTCGGTGGGCTCCTCATTAACTGTAGTGAGAAGTTTAGAGAGTTCAGATGCCTTTCTTTGGGGCTTCTTCTTCTCAGTGGTCCCATGATCTACTCCTTTATGATTCCAATGTATCAAGAAAAGGTTTATAAAAAAAATAAAAATCCTGGCCCAGCCTGAAACAAAATTTGATTATTTCTAATGACTTGGAAAAGCTCAAAATTATTTTTACACTCCAGAAGCCCTTTGATGATGACAGTGTTTCAAATGTAATCATGTCAGGGGAGCACTAAAAGCACAGAGAGCACCTAGAATTGCCTAGTGATAGTTTCTGTGAGACTGGAAATGAAGATTGCCAAGCGGAAGAAGACTTTATGAGAAAAAAGATTTATCAATGTGCATAACATTTTCAGTGCAAGATAAATTTAGAGGTCACAGAGTACACATTTTAAGAGTTTTAGATTGCTGTTGTTCATTTAAAACAAACAAACAAACAAACAAACAAAACAAAGAAGCACAGCATTTTGCTTGTTGTCCAGGCTGGTTTAGAGTCCACTATGCAGTCTAAGCCGGCCTCAGACTTGTGGCAATCAGACCACCTTAGCATCTCAAGTGTTGGTCTAAGACCTCATTTTAAGCCTATAAACCATGATAATTGTATCCCTCAGTGCTTGGTCTTAAAAAAATTGCTATCAAGAAAATTTTATAGTATTTGGGATTCAATGTAATCCTATCATTTTGTATGCCACTTCCTGCTGCCTGCTGCAAGATATGTATTACAAATTTACCTTTTCCTTCTTACTCTGCTCTCCAAATACATTTTCCAAACTCCCTAGTTTCTTCAGCCTATCAGCTTTGCATTCTCCTAGCCATTGTAAGATACCTTTCATCATTGAATGAAATGTGCTAACATGCATATTCTTTCCTCTTCACCAAGTTGCTTGATGACAGGCTTCTCTGCTGGCATATGCAGCACTCAGTCTTACAGGGAAGATTCTGAATGAGTGCGTCAGGAGACTCAAGGCAGTTTTTTCATCCACTGCCTTCATCCAAATTTGTTGTAGGCTTTTTGAATCTGTATCCTCTAAATATACCCGCACATGAATATGTGATCAAACAGATGATGGAAGAAAAATTTCCTACTGCATTCTGAGGCCAGATGCTGGACCCTCTTTGAGCACTAATATATGTTAGGTTTCACTATGTATCCAGCCTTTGTCAATGGTGATAAATATGCAACTAGAATAACATACATAGCCATTTTAGTATCCTGAATTGTCCTTCAAAGGCATGGCTATGAAACAATGCATTAGCCTCCTCTGTTCTAGAAAAATTGTCGCAGCTTATTCCTCTATTCTTCTCACCACCGCAGCCATTTCTTTTAGAAACTCATGCTTTGCACACCATACTGTCCTAGGCATAGATACTTTATTGATAATAATAATAATTAATTAGAGTGACTTTGGCAAACATGTATTGAGCACTTACTGTGGTTCAGGCTTCAATTTTACTCACTCGTTACTTAACTAATTTCTACATGTTGTTAAATGTTAACATCTATTCATGATCATTTATATTTAATAATTCATCATGTCTAATGTTTTTTTGAGAATATGTAACATTTTATAGCTATATGTACTTATTCTACCCATTTATAGTTATAGATACTGTGAAAAATAATTTTTTTTAGATCTACTGAACGACAGATTTTCCTGATGATGATGATGTCTCCGATAGGGAAACATTAAATTTTAATAGTTCCTATGTGCTCATATTTAGCCAAAATCACCCTTCCTTCTACATTACTTTACAATTTAATACAGTTTAAAGCTTCAGGTATAGATAGTGATGAGATTAGGAAGCAGTCGTGTGCTAAGAAATCTTCTATCATTAAATGCTGTTCAGACTGAGTTAGGATCCTTGCTTGTAATTACACTGATGGGTACCTCTGTATTTTCAACAGTAGATTCTGTTCTATGCTGCTTCCTCTTCTTTCCTCACCATTCCTTTGTGTGTGTGTGTGTGTGTGTGTGTGTGTGTGTGTGTGTGTGAGAGAGAGAGAGAGAGAGAATGTGGGTGGCTGCTATGGTAACTGAATATAACTCCTGATGCAAATACAGTATTTACAGTCAGGTTTCACCATTGTATTTGAACTTACATACAAGTGTGTTTGTTTTGCCTTAGATTCACTAGTGACACCTTGGGAAAACTTTATAACAGGAAGGCTGGGTGTTTAAAAATCATTCGGCCTCATAGAATGATTGTCAGAAGTTTGATAAGAAGGTGTATAGGAAAAAACGGCCTCTCAAACAGTATTCTTCATGGAAATGACCTCATGATCATGGGTAGAGATATGTTTACTTAATGTTAAGTCAGATGTGAACCCATAAGAATAAAGGGATGCCAATATGAAGTATTTGAAAAGGAACTGAGTAATGTTTATTTGTTTCTTTTCTGTATGGCTTGCATAAACCCAAGAAATTTGAACTGTCTTTTAGGATCTGACTTAAATTATGGTTTGTGGGGATAATTTGATTGTAGATATTTCTTTTGCTTTACAGAGAACTTTAAGGGAAAAAAAAATCCCTAGTCTTATCTTTAAAAATGCTATTAGTTTTTCTGATTGTGAGGATATTTTAAAAGTTATTTAAGCCTCAATTCTCAAAATTTTAATTCAGCATTAAATCATATTAGAATAATTTTTAGATTTTGATTTCTGTTATTTTCATATACATTGACTAGTGAATTTTCAAATTAAAAGCAAACAAGAAAAGAACTTCAAAGTTGAGAATGAAAGATGGGGTTTGGTGAACTTCCAATTAGCCCCATAAATTTTTGAAACAGAAAAGCATATGTTCAGATTATTTGGTCACTTTCAAATCTGACGTTATTTTATCTTAATAATAAAAAGTAATTATAATAAGGGCGTTGGTAAGATGGCTCAGTGGATAAGAGCACTGGCTGCTCTTACAGAGCATCTGAATTTGATTCCCAGCACCGGCATGGTGACTCACAGCCATCAGTAACTCCAGCTCCAGGAGCTCCTGATGTCCTCTTCTGGCCTTTGCAGGCATGAGGCATGCATATGGTGAGGAGACATGCGTGCAGGAAAATCACCTCAACTCGTAAAATACAAATTTAAGAACTCAGAAATAAGTAATAACAAGCCAGAGTCACTATGACATCTGTGGGCCTCTGTTCCCATTGTGTAGTGTTCCATGTTGGCCCACACTAAAGCTACAAGAGAGTCCTAGCTTCTCTCCTGGGTCCGGTTCAGCTCGCCTGTCATCTGGGTGTGTCTCAGTTGGCACAACTGGAGGAAGTGATCTTCCCTTATTCTTGTGAAGTCTTTCCTGTAAGTTAACTTGCCAGACTATGTCTCAGAAGAGCCTTCCAAAAGGTTGAAGCCCCAAGCTTTACAGTGTCTGGAGATTTATGCTCCTGGTCCCCTTGGCATTTCATCATGGTGTTCTACCCATCGAGGCAAATCAAAGATTACTTGTAGATGGAGGAATTGTCCAAGTAGATTTTAAAATGCGGATATAATGCCATGGGAGGAATTTGCAGTCATTACATGACTTATTAATTTTTCTCTGAGCGGTGGAAGGAAAAATACTGCTTTCCCCTGTTCTTGGTGTTAGTGGTCAGTTATTGGCACTCTCCTTCCCTCACTTCCTGCACAATTATCTGTTGTTGTGATCTCACAGCGTCCCATATATACTAACTACAAATCACATGATGCTGAGACAAGGGTTAGGAGATTATACCCCAGGAGTTCCATAAGACAGATCTGAAATCCTGTTTAAAGGGGAAAATAGAGTGGGCTTTATTTTCTGTATTCATCTTCATTGTCTGGTGAGACCCAGCTGTCATCACTAAGCTGTCATCTAAACTTCTATGCATAAGAGTAACTTAATTTTAAAGTGTATAAGGTTCCTGTGCTTCATATTTCACAGGAGCAAATTTGATCAAGTGTCCAGTCAGTCATCTATCAAAAACCTTCACACCTTCAGTTCAAGGCTATACCATGACTTTGATGACTGATATCACAACTGCAATTACTAGTTAACTGAAATTTCTCTTGTCAGCTTTCAGCTAAGTGTTATTTTGTGAGGTGAGAAAAGAGACAGAAACAATTTATGAAATACCTTTTGTGTTTCAGTGTATTTGCTGTCATGGGTCCTTTCAGTTTTTTTGCATTCCTTTCCCACTCTCTTCTTTGAACTCCGTGTTCAAAAAATTTCTATCTAATTCATAATCTCTCACACTAACTTGGGAA